CAGAAAGGTTTCCTTTAGCATTTAAAATAACAGTTAAACGGAGATTCAGTCCAACAGCGATTAATGCATCTTTTGGGGATGTGCTAGTAGGTCTAAGGAAAACCAGGGCACCTTTTGGTGTGGAATTTCTGCTGTTCAGGTCATGTGTGGTTAGAGAAGCATTTGATGCTAGTGTTACAGTGCTAAGCATATAGAAATAGACCTTGTGGCTTGAAGAGGAGATATCTTTACCCGCAGTGATTTTTTGCATTGCTTGCAGGCCTGAAATTCCTCTGCCATGAGGGAAGGACAACTTCTCCTGCCATAAAACCTCTTCTGTGATATAGAAGACGTGATTGAATAATGCCTCTGTAAGAGAGGATGAGCCTTTTCTGTGATCTTTTCCTATGATGGATGTTCATAATTCAGCTGTGTGCTGTGAGAGGGCAATGGGACTTACATCCTCTGGGAGAGATCGCAATGCTGAAAATTCAAAACTTAAATCTCTTTTGAATATAGCCTTACCCAATGCAAATGTTTTATGCCAGCAAATACTGCTTACCGTACATCTTCAATGTCCAAGGTTTCGCTGGCAAATTCCAGTATATCTGCTGCTGTTCCCACAAACATGAGAAGTAGCTGAGACAGTTGATCCCGAGTGATCTCAACCCCAATAGGGAGAAGCCATCTCCCAATTACTAGTAGCAGTAGAAAAGTCTGGTGGAGGGCCAGTGTCCACACAGTCTCACAGATTGTGGAGAGTTGATTGACAAAGACTTTAGCCTGTTTAAAAGATTAAAACAACAACAACAAAACACTATAACAGCAGGGGATCAACATAAAAGGTTCTTTCCGTGCTGGTGTTCACTCTCAAGCCTGCTTTCTTTCTCCTGCACACTGCATCGAAGGAAATGATCTCTGTGTTGCAGGTATGATTTGAAAAATGCACATTAATAGAAACTTCTTAGCAATGATTAGTGATACTCTTTCCTTGTGCTTTTGCTTTGCTCTCATTTTTCAGCTGAGCATTATCTTTTGCAGAGCTGCCACCCAGACACTTGCTGAATTCAGTTACTCAAATTTGGAGGACAGAAATGGGATATAGCGGGATCCTCTTCACACCTTTCCTACCGCTAATGGTTAGCGCACAACCTGTAGACCATTCTTTCCACAATATCGTTTTGACAGATTTTTGTGCTCACAGTGTGAGAGAGATTGCCCAAACAGACTCAGCAACCCTTTCTAACTGCTCTTTATTGTAAGATCCCTTCAGCAATAGGCAGAGAAGTCCTACCGTCTGGATGGACCCAGCAACCCTTTCTAACTGCTCTTTATCTGAATATTGTAAGATCCCTTCAGGAATAGGCAGAGAAGTCCTACCGTCTGGATTATGTGGTGGTCTGTTCCCTCACTTCCGTGGCTGCTGTCTCTGGATTGATTGAAGTCTTGGTTGCTGACGTTCACCTGCACTGCGCCAGGCTCATTGCCGCAGTACTGTTGTGACACAAACATCACGCACACGTGAATGTCCTGCGGCGTGCAGGATGCGCCCTGGCCTCTTGGGTGCTCTCTGAGTACCAGGACCAGGAAAAGTAACATTGGCTAAAAATGTAATGTTACTTGAGCAGCTGTAAATCAGTGGTGGGACTGTGTGACCAAGAGTTTTGAGATATGCAGCACAGCATTGCCCTTCTGCCTTCGTCCCCAGCACTGGCCCTGCAGCAGCTGGGATAAGATTTCTAAACAATCCCTTAACATCTCATTCCATTGCAATCTGATTAAAAAGGGATAATTAAAAAATCAAACCATGCCGTTGTTAAAGACTTTTTTCCTATCCTATTTGTGCTGTAGAACAGCAAATGACTTGCATTTGAGGCCCCCCCACCACTTTATTGTAAAAGAAGCAATTGTTGCGAGAACTGGAACGTGTTCTCGCGCATGCTGTATCCAGCACAGCGCCTGCCAAGGTAAAGGCAACATTTTCCAGCAAACATCACATTCCAGCAAACTTCAGATTCCTCTCCTTTTGGTACTTTGCTTTGTCTCTGATAACATTGCTCAGTGTCTGGGCAAATGCTGCCTCTTGCCTGCTTTTGCAGATAAATGGAGCAACTTCCTGTCGTGTGAAAAAATCAAGGAAAAAACAGGACTTGTTGCTTTTAGAGTGGATGATAAAGGCTCTTGAAGTGAATACTTGGCTTGTTTAGACAGTGGGTGTGATGGCATTGAAAGATTGACACAGAGATACAGGGAATATGCAGAGATACAGGGCATGGAAATGGTGAGACTGTGGCTGGTGTTCAGGCCAGCGACAGCCTTGCAGGGCCGATCTCGCTGCCGTAGCCCTGCAGTCGGAGGAGTGTGGGAGAGAGGCGGAAGGGCTTGTCCAGGGATATTCGGGAAGAAAAACTTAACCACCATCTCGACAAGCTTTTTTCTCGCTGTCTGTAGAAGACTCTTACAGTCTATGGTGACCAGTCTCCCTGGACAAAGTCTGGGCACAGACTGAGTTTGAGCAGCCTCTAAAGGCAGCAGGACATGGACAGCTAAGAGACCATGCCTTAAAGCCATCTCATAACTGAGGCATAGGGATACGGGGAAATACCTTCGCAGGGACCCTAAGAGCTCTCAGCAAGTAAATCGAGGGGGTGAAGGACCGTAGTGAACCGGGAGCGGTAGTGTGTAAGCGAGCAGCAAGCAAGCTGCAGGTAACGCTGGTCTGGCATTGCCCCTGCGGGGCCTGTCCCCTGCCCACAGCGGGGACCTTGGCCTGGCCTGGCAAGCGTCGGCCTCGCTTGCAAAGGGAAGGGCAGGGGCATCTTTTTCTCAGCAGCACAAAGGCGCAGAGAATGTTTCTTCAAGAAAAGCCCTGCATTCTCTCAGTGTCTTGCGTAGGTTCCTTCTGTGTAATTTTCAAGGCTACTCCTCGCTTATTGGGGCTCCTAGTTCAGTGTTAGGCTCTGTGCATTCTGACTGAATGGACTCCTCGGAGCCCCAGCCATATCTCTTCCTGACTACATGTAGGCAGGAAAGGGAAAAGAGCAGTTGCAAAAAGCAGGCACGAATTAGACTCCTACTTATAAGCATGTTCTTATCTTGTTTTGGTTTGCTTCTTTTTGAATATTTATTAAAAGTGGTGTTTGTTTGCCTGAAAGGCTGGAGAAGAGCCTTATTTTGTATCATGTATATGCGTGTGAATGGGAGCGCTGACGCCAAGCATGTTTGTGTACGCAATCATATAAGATCACTGTTAGGAGAACAAGGTCCTCAAATTGTTTCTGGTAAGAGAGTCCCACTTCAGAATGAGCCTGAGGGATATGGTTACCGTATTTGATCATGCCTTAAAATGCCCAACTGAGAATGGTTAAGAATAGTTACAGGATTTACCAAGAATGTGTCTCTTAGCTGAACGGGGAGCTTATGCTGAGTCCTGTGCGAAGGGTGGCTCTTTATTGCACTGTGGCACTAATGCAGCAGGCACTTGAGAAGATAGGTGGCATTTGTTCATCTAGGTTTTTATGCTTTATGAAGGAAGAATGGATTTTTGTTTTTAAATGGATTAAATGATTTTAACTTTCTTTCTACTTTGTTTTGCTGACAGCAATTTTTTTCACTCAGTACAATTCAATTTACTTCACAGAGCCTCTCTCAAAAGTATAATTCATCCCTGAATACTGCAAAGCAGTACTTTCTAAGCAGGGATTGTTTCACTGTTGATATATGAATGGTATTACTTATGTCCAGTTCTGCGGTGCTGGGAGAGGCCGGAATTGCCTTGGCCTTCCGGAGGAGAGGCTGCCCAGGAGAACATGCCTTAAATAAGGACAGCACTGGTGCAGGCGGTTGATGCTTCTTCTCAGGGGTTCAACAGGAGATCCCAGTGCTACTGCCTTAAAGACCACACACTATTTTCAAGACGTACATATTAAAGTCTGAGTCTGGTGGCTGTGCAATTACCCATTTTACGGGTATTTTAGTGAGGGAAAGGCCAGCAATGCGTTAGTATCAAGGATGGTACTTGTGTGGTGCCGCGTGTGGCGTGGGTCACCGAGGCCACTCCCTTCCTATGGGAATCGCGCCTGACTCTTAGATTGGGCTTTTCCAGAACTCTCTTTCCTATCTCTTCAGGTATAAACCAAGCTGTTAACTTGATGTACTCCCTCTTTAATTCACAGTAGCAGTATATCAATAAGAACAAAGTATGCCATGTTCTAACATCATTTTGGGAAATAAACTGCTGCCTCTGACTACAGAATTATCCTGTTTCTTGGACCAGATTTAACTATGACAAATGTTCTCAATATCCACATTACCTGTCTGTGACTGTTTAAGGAGATTTGGCAAAATGTGAGCACAATAAAT